CGGGGCGGGGGCCCTCCGCCGCCATCACACCGAGCGCCCAGCGCGGCTTGTCGCCCACCTCCACCTCCCAGTAGTGCTCGCCGTTGGAGAGAAGCTGGTGCGCCACCACCGCCACCGCCTTGTCGAACTGGCGCGGGTCCTCTCCGGCAGGAGGCGCCTTCTGCTCAGAGCACTCCACGCGGCGGCCGGTGGGAGACACCACCAGGCTCGGGTGCGCAGAGCTCTGGTCGAAGGTCAGCTCCTCCATCGCTGCCAGCGTTAGGACACAGTGGTCAGGCCCCCGCGTCTTGCCTCCCTCGAAACTTCTCCCAACCCATTTAGGCGCCAGCCTCACCTCCTCTATCCTCCCCACATCTCTGAGAGGTGAGCCCCTATTGCTTAATGGCTTAGGCCAAGGACTTCACTTCTCTGAGCCCGGTTTGCTCAGCTATGAAATGAAGCCCCTCCAGGGTGGTGGCAGGACTGAGTTGTTACAAGGCTTGTGACACCCTCTCAGGCCCAGGAAGGGCCCAAGGCCACAGAGCAGGAGATCCTCAGAAAGCCCAGCCCTCAGTCTTGGCCTAGTCTCTAGGCCAAGTACTACCCGACCCTTGAGTAAAACAAGGGTCCCTCCATCCCCGCGTCCCAGGAGGTAGTAAAGGCTGCACCCGTCAATGTGCGTGGCCAGGAGCTGTGGAACCTGGAGCACCCCATGTACCCCAGCTCTCAGGAGAGAAGGATGAGCCATCGGGCCTTCCCAGCCACGAAGTGCCAAGTCAATGTCTGAGCCAGGCCAGATCCAGGTTCCAGTCCTGCAGATCCTCATCCCCAGTGAGCAGAAATCATCCTCTACACTGTGCAGAGAGGGGCAGGGACTGGTCCAGGCCCTACCTTCCAGGCTGCCAACGGCAGCAGCACACTGTGGCACTGTCCCCTCCAAGACAGTCACCCACCATAAGCCCCATGTCCTCAAAGGTCTTCCCCTTCATTAGGGGGCTGCAGGGTACCTGCTTTGATGGCCTTCCCATTTGGGACCAGGAGGCCTCTCCATGTGTGGCTGGGGTCTCCCGTCACCATGCAGTTACACACACAGGCCTGGAGTCAGCCCCTCCCAGTACCTGGCATCAGCGCCCGGAACATCTTCCTCCACACCTGGAATTTGAAGTCATCTGAGATGATAGGCAGCTGGATGTCCAGACGGGCAGGTGGTGGGGACTCTGCCAGAATCTTCTGCAGCCTGGGGTGAGAGGTGAGGAGGTGAGAAGGGGAGGTATCTGTGAGGAGGAAGTACCCAAGGGGAGGAAGGCCAGGGCTCTTAGTGGGGAAGGAGCCCAGGATCTCCTCACATCACACCCCTGCTTAAAACTCTTCTGTTGGAGTTCCAGTTTGGGAAGAGGATAAAATTCTGGAGCTGGATGGTGGTGGTGGTGGTGGTTGTACAACACGAATGTACTTGATGCCTCTGAACTTAAAATGTGTGCTTAAAAATGCTGAAAATGGGGCCAGCAGGTGGCGTGGTGGTTAAGGCACTGGACACTCCCACATGACGGACCACGGTTTAGGTCCTGGACCAGATGACTTGCTTTCTCACTTTCCTTCTCTCTGTGTGTCTGTCTTTCTCTGGTTAAATGAAAGTAAATGAAATGAATAAATAAAATTAAATAAATAATTCTTTTTTAAAAAATGCTGAAAATGGTCTATTTTGTGTGATAACATATTTTACAAGGAAAAAAAGTGTTTGACCTTCTGCTGGGATAAGGCCCAAGCTCAGCCCTTCCCTGTTTGCCCCACCTGCCACAGCAGCCGCACCGTCTCTCCCGCTCTCCCGTCTTTGCACTTACTGTTCCTCCGCCTGTGGTGCTCTTCCCCCAACCCTACCTAGTCAACTTCTATTCATTCCCCCAGAGTCCAGCTCAGGTGCCCACTCCTCTGGGAAGCCTTCCTGGCCACCCCTCCCCTCCACAGCAGCACTGGGCACACAGCGATGCCAGCGTCTCTGCCTGGCCTGGGGTCAGATCAACACAGGGTGTTCCATACAGCAGGGAGACAGAGTGGGCTGAACTGGGCATGTGCAGCACATTGTGAGTAGAAGGCAAGCCAGCTGGTATGCCCAGCAGGCTAGGCTAGGTGGGCAAAGGGCCAGGCAGGGCCAGGTTGAGCTCACCTGCTGGTCACCAGGCAGTATTTCTGGAGAGAGAGAAAAAGAGATGGACATGAAGCAGGGGGGAGAAGCTAGGGATTTCTGAGGATGGGGTCAACAATTAGGAGAAGTGTGGACAGGAAGTATCAGAAAAACCCAAAGAAACCAAAACTCAAGGCCACCCCTAGCCCTTGACCTTTATGTGAATTAGAAAATGGTAACCCCTCCCCAAGAAACTAATTCCACTTGTTACAAGATTGTCCTGATAAATATACAAACCTGCCATGTCTGTGACATGAATGGGGCCCACTTACGGTGCCCTTACTGTGCCCAACCTAAACAACCGTGGTTGCAATTGTGAGGCCTGCCCCCCCTGACTCTGGCTCATCCCTACCCCTGTCTGGACCTCAGGGTCCCCAGCTGACAGCAGGATGAGGTCCCTGGGGACTACGTCGTGGCCAAGGGGCGAGGAAAGGAGGTCATCCAGCACTCACCATGAGGAACTCAGTCTGCGGTTTGTCAGCCACCTCCTCCAGCACCTTCTCCATCTGCTGCAGCTGCTCCAGGTAGGATTTCAGGCCCCCCAGCTCCCGCTGCAAGGCGACCCCTGCCTCACCCCGCACACGTTCTGCCTCACGGTCCAGAGAACCCTCCAGTGCAGCCAGGAACATCCGCATCTTGCCCAGCTGCTCCCCTACAGCCCCCCGAAACTGACGCACTGTCTCCTGTAGAGGGCAAGGGTTACAGACAGGCAAAGGCACTTGACCGGGGATCCCGAGGCTTGGCCCTCCGTCCCCAGGCTCTGCCACACTGAGCCCCTCACCTCCATCTCCACCAGCTGATGCTCCAGCACGGCCACACTCTTCTCCTTGCGCATGCATGCCTCCTGCAGCTGCAGCTTCTGCTGTGGGAGCTGCGACTGAGGGGCGTGGAGGAAATGAAGAGGTGATGCGGAAGCCACCCACCCCAAACCCACACCTCCTACCCTACACCTGCACTCTGTAACTCAGCTAAATGCCAGCTCCTCCTCCAGCCATCCTCCCATCCCCAAACCCACTTGCAAGCCCCCACGTCCTGGCCAGCTCCAATCCTGAGGTCTGAAAGTTTTGTGCTCCCATTGTCTATTTTTACTTCCTCCCTGACCTTGTCTCTCTGATCCCACCCCCTCAGCAGTTAGCCCACCAGCACAGGTCTTTGCGAGGACGACAAATACAAATGTGCTTTGTTCTCCACCACCAGACAGGTGAAGACAGAACTCCGCATGCAGCAGGCTTTCGAGGGGTGGTGAGTGAAGTATATGTAAGAGAAGAAATACGGCCACAGAAATGGCTCATTACCTGCTGATGATAACATGTATAGTATTCTCAACTGGACTGGTCTGAGAAGTATTTCATGTTCCGTAAATTCTTTTTACAAGCCAAATGATATAGAGTGATTGAATGTTTAAAAAATAAAGAGAATAAATAATAATAATAATAATAATAATAATAATAATGAAGAAATGCAAGGACCAGCAGATGGCGTAGCGGTTATGCTGCTGGACTCCCACATGGCCAACCACAGTTCGAGTCCTGGACCTGGTGGCTTAAAACTCACAACAGGCACATGTGCGTGTGTGCTCAAGATCCCAAGAGGAGAATGGAGAAGGGACTGTGGGTGACCATCCCCTCTGGAGTCGGGGGGTAATTTCTCACTTTCCCTTTTACTGTCTCTGTGTGTGCCTCTCTCTCTCTGGCAAATGCACACACCCTAAGGGGGAAAAAAACTCTTAAAAAAAAAAAAAGAAGAAGAAATGCAGCCTCCTCTTCTTCCTGGGCTTCACATCTCTCTCTCTTTAATTGTCAGAGGACGTGTGTACTCACCAGAGAGAGAGACAGAGACAGAGAGGGAGAAAGTACGTCCAATGGGGTGTGATCATGCTGCAATCCCTACTCCTCCGTTTCTCCATTCTGTTAGAATTTGGGGCACGCACATACCTGGTGAGTTTTCCAAGCCACTGGGGCCAGGATTCAAACTGCAGTTGGTCGTGTGGAATCTGTCTCCCTTAACCACTGGGCTATGGACCAGCCCTCACCCCTCTCTTAAAAATATAACATTAGTTTCGGGACCAGCAGATGGAGTAATGGTTATGTCGCTGGACTCCCACATAGTCGACCACCTTTGGAGTCCCAGACCTGGAGGTTAAAAACTCACACTGGGCACATGTGCATGCGTGCCCAAAATCTTGAGAGGAAATAGAGGAGAAGGGATTGCAGCATGAACATCCCCCCCTGGGGTGATTTCTCGCTTTCTGTCTCTCTCTGTCTCTCTGGCGAGTGCACACACCTTATGGCAAAAATCTTTCTTTAAACACACACACACACACATACACACACAGCGTAACATTACCCTGAATCATCCTGACCCCATTCAGCCTCCCTGCATATCCATGGGTTCTAGGGCAGGCAATTTAATAAAAGCATCCCCTGCATTGGCCCATCAGACACATCTGTGGACTGGGTCCTACCCGAGCCTGCCAGTGTGTGATTCCTGAAATGATTCCAGGAGCCACAGGGAAGGAAGCTCCTAATGGCTCCTGCCAAGGTCATTTCTTTGCTGGGATTTTCTTTGCCAGGGAGGTGTATGACCCTGGAATCAGTGAATTCCATTCCTGCCTCCATGGCTTCCAGTCTGTTTCCTCCTCTGCAGAATGAAAATAGCCTCACCAAATCGGTGCACTTCCGAACCCCTTCCCGAGAGCAACCGGGACCCCCAGGCAGGTTTGCCAAGGAGTCTCCTACCGACAGCAGCCACAGGGTTGGACCATGGGCTCTCTCACTGGCAGCCAGGTAAGTCTCCTCCCCAGGTCGTCCTCCCGTGCAGCGCCCCGCCTGCTGCAGGTCAGGGCGGGCCTGGTGGCTCGGGATGCCAGGCCATCTGAGGTTCAGAAGTGGCAGGGCTGAACCATGGGGAAGAAGCGCGACGCCATCCTGGACGCGCTGGAGAACCTGACCACGGATGAGCTCAAGAAGTTCAAATTGAAGCTGGGGGCGGCGCGGCTGCCCGAGGGCTTTAAGAACATCCCGCGGGGGGCGCTCGGGCAGCTCGACGCCGTGGACCTCACCGACAAGCTGGTCTCCTTCTACTGCGAGGACGACGCC